ACACGTTTTTTAAGACGTTCTTTCAGTCTTTCAAGTCCACTATATCAAGTATATCACTGAATATGAATACTGCAACTGTACGTTACATAAAAGTAAACAAATCAAGTAGTAAAATTAAATCACAAACTAGGCTTCTTTTGTATTTTCAAAAATACAACATGGTTTTTGAATCATAACCGGACTACATAACCAATAAACACACAAATTAAGAGCAGAAAAGTTAATTAAAGTACTGAATACTGCACATAGCATGCTGAAAATACTGCATAATCATCACTTCATTGAAAACACACGCGATAGAGAGTGCGATAGTCTTACAGATCCGAAACAAGGGTGACGTTTTTTGTGGGCGGAGCCTATCTGGAGGCAGAAAATTAGGGTTTTCAAGTCGCAGTGTATGGAGCCATGGAATAAAAGGTCAATTTGATTTTATATTTCAAAATTATGACTTTATTCTCGCAATTCCGAGATTATATCTCACAATTCTAATAAGGAAAAACAACTGGTCATTCTCTATCTTCCCCTCGGCTCTTCTGGCTTTTATCCCTCAGATTTGACAAACTCACTATTTTTTAGTTAAGTCGAGTTATAAAGTCCGAATTAGGAGATATAAACTTGCATTTGCGAGGAAAAAAAAGTCAGAATTGTGAGATAAAGTAAATAAATGTTATGTAAAAATGTTAATAGTAAGGTTTAAATAATATTTCATGCTGTAACTGTAGGGCTAATACAATACGTCCCCTATGAACAGCATTATGTAGACCTATTGTTTAAATCGAATTTATGCTTTAAAAGTAGAGTAATCATAGCAGTTTTCATCCATAGTATGTCTATTTAAACGTCTGCGTTTAGCTTCAAATGACGACAGTATTCTATAAAAATTATCTGCATTCAGATCTTGACATCAAAAGGCACAAAAATATTTTTTTCTTTTATTCCATGGATTTTACCCATTTACCTCCACTTGTTCCCAGTGTTTTTCTGCAACCACTGTGCGCGCGCAGCTGCAAGTGACGTCTACTCTAAATGGGTCTATACGATATTGTTCCATATCCATAAACAATACTCAGAATATTCCATAAAAGACATTTACATAAACGTATTCATTGTGTGATCTAAACCACACAAGGGGTTTTCAAACTGAAAAACGATTCAAAAAGAATAAATACAAATATATTAATATAATATTATAATTAATAAAATAATAAAATAATATTTTAATTAATAAAATATTAACATAAATGCATAAACATATTTAGATAAATAATTAAATTGTATTAACGTAAGTATATAAATAAATAAATACTCATTACAGTAGCATACAGAGTAGACAAACACCTAATGTAGCTAAATATAATATATTTTAAATTGGCACGGTATACCAATTTAAATTAGAACAAACTGGGTCTTTGTACATAATTGATGACTTATTAATATGAATACATCTGTGATTTTAGGGACATTTTGCTACTTTTGCGTGATAAACAATTCAGGTCACCACTCAATATGCAATTTTAAATCTATTTCTTGAAGCAAAACCAGTTGAGAACCACTATAGATACAATGCATTTATTAAAATCCATTTTTGAAGCATGACATGAAGCAAATTCACACAATCTGTCATAATTCATACAGTCATAAATCAATCACAATAGTAATAATGAGGCCAAACAAATGCCAAATTCTTAACAGCATGTTATACATATGCGCCAGTATGTAAATATACAGTCATACCTCTTATAATTATTAATAAAATTACGTATTTATTATAAATACAATAATTATATCCACTATGACTATTAATGGCATCGAACGAATAAGACTAAACAACAAAAACAAAACAACAAAGAACCGTGATTTAGGCGTAAGGCCCTCCAATATGTAAAAATAGGTATTAGATTATATAAAAGTAGATCGAAGCTCTTAATTCTGCGGTGGCTGTTAGAAATAGAGGAGTTTTTCTGCTTTTGCGAAATGTAAACAAACACCAAAAATGTCTGACTAACTTTTGGAGCAACAAGTGACCACAAAACCGCACGCATCCAGATGGGACTTATACACTTCATGAACTAAGACGGGAAAGTCTCCAAACACACGCTTAAAGGTCTAAATAGGTGAGATTTATTAAGATGACTGAGTTTTAGCTTTATTTAAGAGCGTTTAAGAGCGCGCGCTGGCTAGCGCTGCTAACACTTTTGGGTAAAACTGTGGAAAAGAATGATTTCAGAAGCTCTCCGCCGCTTACCTGCTGGGTTATCTGCTTTATTATATCCTAGATTTATAGCATGAATAGTTTCTGGAGTAGGAACTAAGGTTTGTGATGATAATCCGATATTTGGTGGAGTTTGTTTTTTCGGGATTGACGCATGTTTGAGGTTCCTCGGGTCGCACTCCTGCTGCTGCGTCACATCCGCTCGGAATACCAGAGGAAAGGTGACCGGGAACGTCTTCAGTATTCCTCCGCGGCACTATTTTCTCTCACACCCGTGAAGTCTTTTTCGGTTTCGCCACAGTCACGAGAACTGACTTTTGTGCAGGACGCTTAAAAATACATTTTTGATTTTTTTTTTGGAGTAGGAAAAGAAGTAGGTTATGTCTGATCGAAAAATGAGATAGGATTAATCAATTGAACAACTGTGCTGCGCCTCGATACAGGCCGCGTTACGTCAGACGCGTGGAATGCGTGGAATGAGAGCAGCTGCTGTAAAGCCATGTGAATAACTGCACATTATGTACCACAGTAAAACTCTGTGATAAGCAAGACTTTATCAGCTCTTGAGGATTTGCGGGTGTGTAATAAAACACTGTGACACAGTGTTGTCATTTTTTATGCCTGGTTATCTGTTAAACTTTATAAGGGTCATTTCAACTTGGAATATAATTTTTTTTTCATCTATGTTACATATATTTCATTTTCAAAATACCCCACATCATTAGGCACATGTCAAAAAAAAACCTTCAAAATCATATTTTTATTTTTTCAGATTTAGACCTTTTTCTCAACCCCCTGATGGACAAAATGGGATTGGTTTAAAAAGGATTTTACACAGAACTTGTTATCAAACAAACCTACCTACTGCTCATGAGTCCCTCATAGCAATTTAATGATAAGAAATGAAAATTTTTTCATAATTTTCACATTTTTATAGGACTGAAGCTAAAAATACACAAATTGTGTGTCTATTGTCTCTTTATTTTTGAGGAAAAAAACAATATATATATATATAAAACACAATTTTATTTAGTCCTTAACATGTCAGATGTTAATCAGCAAGAAAGGCTTTCATTTTTAAGTGTGTTCCCTATATTTTTTAGGTGTGACGGGGTTGAAGACTGTAACACATTTAAAGGGATACATTGCCTTCAGTTTTAATTTTTGGTTTTGTTTCTCTCTAATATTGTCCCCTTGTTTCTGGATCAACACATCTGCATGGCCAACATTGTCTTTCTGCTGCAAATGTAGGTGCAGTTTCTGATGTATGATGCTTGGCAAAGTTTATGTTACATCGTTACATCAAAAAATATTCTATTTATAAGAAAAATATGAGTTGTCATGGTTTTGGTAAGTATATATTTACTGACTGTATAACTGTATATATATATATTTTTTTCATTAAAATTATTAATAAATGAAGTAAATAACTGTCACAAGTTTACAACCCCGAAGCAATGAGAAATAGATATATTTGAGACGGGGTTGAGGTTTTTCACTCAAAATGGGCACTGCTCCTCAAGAGAGTAGACCATATACGGCAGCAATAAAATAAGTACATTTTATATACTTATGGATTAAAATAAAATGTTGAAAAATAAATAATAATTTTCCATCTTTATTTTATATGACAGGGTTGAGTTGGTAAGCTTGACAGTACCCTCCCTGATTATAATATGCCTCAAAATATGAATAAAAAGTATGATACTAACCATTTTCTGCACTACTAGTAAATGTACATTTCTGGTAAATGTCACATATGAGCAGAGTCTAAATTATTATGAGCGTAGAGTGTGACGGGGTTGAGTTCAGACTGAGGGACATAACTTTAAAGTCTGTTTTTTAATACAATTTCTTGCATGTTTTTAGAAAAATATTTTTCACAAGAAAGGAACACAAATGCATGCTTACACTACCGCCAAAAATCAGACACTATGCACATTTTGTTAATAATTTTCTGAGTACAAACTCTGGAACATGACAAAATGCTTGGTTTAAGATAGATATAAGACATTATTTTATGCTAAAAAATATTAAAATGCAATAATTATATTTATTCATTATAATGGGCATACCAAAGTATTGTGAAAAGCTTCTAACAATTCATTTTTGGTGAATCGCCACTTTAGAAAATCTGGGGGACTGAAATATTCCCGAATCCCAGGAATGACCCTTAAGTTAAATGTTTATTGCACGGTTAACTTATGCTGATATGATTTAATTCTCAAGGACTTATTAAGTGTACAATAAACATAAACCAAAGGTAACTGCATTAGAATTTTATTATCTATATCCAATGTTGTTAAACAAAAAAATACAGTAGTAAAAGTCATTTGTAAATATAAAAATACATATCATATCACAGTTGAAGTAAAAAGTGTTTCATTTCTCAGTAGTTGAAAAGGCAAAAACTCAATGGACATTTAAATCAACAGGTGCTAAAAGAAAACGGCGTAAATTAAATTATATATTTCAGTGTAACAACAATTGTTCAAAGTAAACAAAACCGTTTTAAGCCACTGGCGGTTGCCTTTGAAGACACATGGTTTCGACAAATTCCTTAATTGGGCATTTAATGGTTAAGTTTACAATCATGTAAACTATGTATATATTGTATAGCCATAAACACGTTTTTTAAGACGTTCTTTCAGTCTTTCAAGTCCACTATATCAAGTATATCACTGAATATGAATACTGCAACTGTACGTTACATAAAAGTAAACAAATCAAGTAGTAAAATTAAATCACAAACTAGGCTTCTTTTGTATTTTCAAAAATACAACATGGTTTTTGAATCATAACCGGACTACATAACCAATAAACACACAAATTAAGAGCAGAAAAGTTAATTAAAGTACTGAATACTGCACATAGCATGCTGAAAATACTGCATAATCATCACTTCATTGAAAACACACATGGCTTTTCTGTAAAAAAAATTTTTTTACAAATAAAATAACAGTAAACAAAACAGAAATCTGAAATTCTGCAGAAACTGCAAATAATTAGTGTCATAAATAGAAAAAGCATTGTGCTTTTGCAAACATTTCACTGAGTTAAAACTCATCATCACTGATGTCTCCTCTCGTCTGCTCCTGTTCAGACACTTGCTGTTGAGTTTCTGACACACTTAAAGACTCCGCCATGATTTTCCCAAGTTCATCAACCTGCTGTGACACTTCATTATCGTCTTCAGTGTTTCTGGGATCATTCAGGGAGATCTCGCTGCCTTCGTTACGACTGAACTCCACGTCGACTTCCTCCAGACCGGCTCGACTGTGACGCACAGGTGTGGACACTACAGCAGAACTCACGTCCTCGTTAAACACTTTACGAAGCAGATCATCTGATGGCAGCGTCTGACTGATGGCGGCAGCAGGGGGACTTTGCAGGTCCTCCTGCAGATTGTCTAGAAGGTGGCGCATTTTGTTCTGTTGGGAATATTAGAGAGATGGACGTCTGTGAGTGAATGAGAAAGGAAGTGATGCCAAGGACTTCTAGTATAGAGTGAGACATCTACAACTAAGGTGACTGGTTTAAAAAGATGCCTGGAACTGAGTGCCACATAATGTTTGATTTGTATGTTGCTTGCAAAAGCATATGTGAGCCTGGACCACAAAACCAGTCATAAGGGTCGATTTGTTTTAAATTGAGATTTATGCATCATCTGAAAGCTGGATGAATAAGCTTTTCATTGATGTATGGTTTGTTAGGACAGAACAATATTTGGCCGAGATACAACTATTTGAACATCTGGAATCTGAGGTTGCATAAAAAATCTAAATACTGAGAAAATCGCCTTTAAAGTTGTCCAAATGAAGTTCTTAGCAATGCATATTACTAATCAAAAATTAAGTTTTGATATATTTACGGCATGAGCTTTACCTAATATCCTAATGGGTTTTGGCATAAAAGAAAAATCGATAATTTTGACCCATACAATGTTTTTTTGACTATTGCTAAAAATATACCCCAGCGACTTAACACTGCTTTTGTGCTCCAGGGCCACATATAATAAAATTTAAATAAATAAATATACACACACCTTTCAAAAGGCTGGGGTCAGTAAATTTTGTATCTGTTTAAGTCTCTTCTGCTCATTAAGGCTGCATTTATTTGATCAAAAATACAGTAAAAACAGTGAAATATTGTTACAATTTAAAACAGCTGTTTTCTATGTGAATATCTGTTAAAATGTAATTTATTTCTGTGACCAAAGCTGTATTTTCAGCATAATTACTGCAGTCTTCAGTGTCACGTGATCTTCAGAAATCATTCTAATATGCCGATTTGCTGCTCGAGAAACATTTATGATTATTATATGTTGAAAACAGTTGTGCTGAACAATATTTTTGTGTAAACCGTGATACATTATTTTTTTTCAGGATTCACCAATGAAATGAAAGTTCAAAAGAACAGCATTTATTTGAAATAGGAATCTTTTGTAACATTATAAATGTCTCTTTTGATCAATTTAATGCATCCTTGATGAACAGACACTTGCTGTTGAGTTTCTGACACACTTAAAGACTCCGCCATGATTTTCCCAAGTTCATCAACCTGCTGTGACACTTCATTATCGTCTTCAGTGTTTCTGGGATCATTCAGGGAGATCTCGCTGCCTTCGTTACGACTGAACTCCACGTCGACTTCCTCCAGACCGGCTCGACTGTGACGCACAGGTGTGGACGCTACAGCAGAACTCACGTCCTCGTTAAACACTTTACGAAGCAGATCATCTGATGGCAGCGTCTGACTGATGGCGGCAGCAGGGGGACTTTGCAGGTCCTCCTGCAGATTGTCTAGAAGGTGGCGCATTTTGTTCTGTTGGGAATATTAGAGAGATGGACGTCTGTGAGTGAATGAGAAAGGAAGTGATGCCAAGGACTTCTAGTATAGAGTGAGACATCTACAACTAAGGTGACTGGTTTAAAAAGATGCCTGGAACTGAGTGCCACATAATGTTTGATTTGTTGCAAAAGCGCAAAAGCATATGTGAGCCTGGACCACAAAACCAGTCATAAGGGTCGATTTGTTTTAAATTGAGATTTATTGAAAGCTGGCCCATCATTAATGGGTACTGTGTTCATCAAGCTAGCGTCGGTGTGTGTTTACAGACGGTTTGAAGAGATCTAGAGCTTTTCTAAGGCCTCTGGAAGAGTATTTCCTATCATACACCGCCGTTCAAAAGTTTGGGGTTGTAATGTTTCTGAAAGAAGTCTCTTCTGCTCACCATGGGTGTTTATTTGATCAAAAATACAGTAAAAATTGGAAATATTTTTATGATTTAAAACAGCTGTGTTCTATGTGAATATATATTAAACTGTAATGTATTTCTGTGATGTGCAGCTGTATTTTCAGCATCATTACTCCAGTCTTCAGTGTCACATGATCTTCAGAAATCATTCTAATATGCCGATTTGCTGCTCGAGAAACATTTATGATTATTATATGTTGAAAACAGTTGTGCTGAACAATATTTTTGTGTAAACCGTGATACATTATTTTTTTTCAGGATTCACCAATGAAATGAAAGTTCAAAAGAACAGCATTTATTTGAAATAGGAATCTTTTGTAACATTATAAATGTCTCTTTTGATCAATTTCAGAAATCATTCTAATATGCCGATTTGCTGCTCGAGAAACATTTATGATTATTATATGTTGAAAACAGTTGTG